TTACAAAAAATACTAAAGGGAGTCCTATAGGTTATCATGAAAAGGCACACGACAATGGGAATAAACACAAAGAAATAAAGAACACTAGGAAAAGCAATTATATAGTTAAATATGAAAAAATATAGATTATGATTTGCTTATAACTCTTCTTAAAAATAAATACACTATTTTATTAATTCTTTGAGAATTTTATATATACATACAATGTATTTTGATCATATTTACCCCCACTCCTCCCCCTCCACTCACCTCCCAGATCCACTTCTCCCTCACACCCCTCCCAATTTCCTTTTGTTTGTGAAAAATAACTTGCTAAGCTTCATTTGTGTTGTCCATATACCCACGGATGTGGGGACTGCAGGAGCATTGTTGACCTACCGTAGGCCACAGCCACCAACTGTCAACAGCGCCTCAGCTGGGGGTGGGGACATATGAGCCCCTCCCTAACTTCTTAGTCCTCCTTAACTTCTGGCTCTTACAATCTTATCCCCTCTTCCATAATGGTCCCTGAGACTTGGGAGGGGGGCATGATATAGATGTTCCATTTGTGGCTGAGCATTCTACACACGCTTATTCTCTGCATTTTGACCATTTATAACTCCTTTTAAAGGATAAACGATTCAAAGCTTGAACACATAAGTGATAATTGTAAATTTATGCAATAGGCTCAGAATGTATAAAGACACATTTGTTTTTGGACAGACTCCCTAGTCCCAACTCACCTGGGACTCACTATATGGAGCCTCTTTACAGAGATCTGCCTACCTCTACCTCTCAAGGACTGGGATTAAAGGTGAGTATCATCACATCTGTCATAAGACACAATTTTTTATAATACATAACAACATAAAGAAGGGGAGAAAAGAACTATGCAGTCAGTGTTTTACATATTACTAAAATTAAGTTGTTACTAATTCAAATAGATTTGCCCTCATAGTAACTACCAAGAAAATGTATTTAAAAATAAAGCAAGTGAGATAATTTAAATGATGCATCAGAAATATCTATTTAACAGAAAAGAGGGTGTTACTGGAAGAAAAAAGGAATTATATATACATATATGTGTGTGTATATGATGTATAGAAATGAAATAGCAAAATGGAAAACATCAACCTTATGTTATCAATTACATTAAATGTAAACAAACCAAATTTTCCAGTTAAAAGACATTGGAAGAATAGATTTTTTAAAAATGAGCAACTCTATGCTGAGCAGCTCTATACAAGAGGCTCATTTTAGAGTTAAAAAACATACACAGGTTGGAAGATGAAAAAATGCTTCATGTAAACAGAATAAAAGGTCGTTACACTAATATCAGACAACAAAGATGTCAAGAAGAGCATTGTCACTAAAGACAAAGGAAGCCACATTGTAGTGAGGATGCCATGGTTGTAAATACATTTGAACATAATAGAGCCCCCAAATGCATGAAGTAAACACATCTGGGAAAAGAGCAGAGGAAAAGGCAGCAAGGCCTTAGCTATTTGACTCCCATGACCAATTATGGAGCTAAAAATCCTATCACTAGGAACTCAGTTCTTTGGATTACAGCACTGTCTCCCTTAGAGTTCTTCGTTAAAGCACAGTGATGACCCTGGAGCCACCACTTTTATTAGCACCTTAGTTGATACTAGTTTTAAGACACTGCTCACTGCAGAGGCAGAGTTGAGTCATTTGAGTCCATAGGTATGGCTAGAGTGGGCCTCTAATAGAGTGAAGAGTCGAGGATTAAGTGAAGAAATAAAGGATAGAGAGATTATGTGGGTGGGGGGGAACAGCATGCCACAGGGGGACCCGAAATGCCCCAAAAGAGGCCGAAGGAACTAAACCCTAAGCAAGAAGGAAGCACCTAGGGCATCAGTTTGGTGCTGGACTTCCTTGGCTTGACAACTGAGGGCTGAGGGTGGCAGCAGACCCAGAAGTAGCATGAGGAGTCAGCCAAGGGACGGAGGGTGAGGGGGCTGTGGGATGGCCATGAGCACAGGCCACTCTTAGGTAAACTGCCACAAGTAGAGGTAAACAGATCTGGTCTGAGTTGCTTTCCCAGTTCTGGAGAACAACAGAAAGGGGGAGACGCAGCCTTGGGGCTAGGATACAGACCCTAGTAGTAAACCAGAATCTTGGGAATGCACAGGAACAAAGGACAGCAAGTCAAAAGCAAAGCCAGATCCCAGCCAGTGGGCAAAGCAGAGAGATGGTCAAATGACATATCGCTGGTGAAATGTGCAGAGGTTCAGGCAGAGGGATGGTAAGAGAACTGGGCAGCAACTCAGTGCTGATAATAAAATCAGGCCTTGTTGAGCAACACCTGCAGCTGCTGGCAACTGTGTTGAGTTCTTCAAGTCCATTGCCTGTAACACTTTAACTCCCTGGAAGGGAGACACTGAAACCTCCAGTCTGTACCGCAGATGAGTGAGAAAGCTGGTTAAAAGGGTGCAAATGGGGTGACCCTAGAAGATTCTGGAGTACTCTACCAGCTTCTGGGACCAGTGTGAGAGCCCCAAGGGTGGCTCAGATCCACATGGTATCTTAAAAGGAATGGGAGGAAGGGACACTAAGAGCTGGGGACAAGGACTTCTCAGAATCCCACCAAAGCCCCCATCCTCTTTCACAGTGGGACTGGAAAGGGGCAGCAGAGACCTCCCTGGCCCTGCCCCTTTCCAGACCTCTGAAGAATCATGGAGTTTGTCACCTGTCAGAAAGCCTGGCCACCAGCATTCTCCCATTTCCTCTCAACCATTCAAGGCCCTTTTTTATGAAAGAGAAAGATATCACAGCAGGGACAAGGTCCTGGGGGATAAAGGCATATGGAGGCCCAGGGGACCTGGGTAGAGCCTCTTGCCTCATGAATCCCAGTTCCATCTGTTTGGTCAGAAGCAGAGGAGCTGGCCACCCTACCTTGTACCTGCCGTCCACACCACACACACAGGATAAGGACTCACTGCTTCTGAGTGACCCCCACACCCCCTCTCTCTGTCTGCTCCAATCCACAAATGCAGACACCACTAATGCCCTTCCTGAAGGAAAGGGATTTCCTGGAGTTTTGTCCAACCTGGGACTGAGGTCTGGGGGTCAGCATACGAAGGAAAATGATTGTCACTAAAGCTATCAAGTCATCCTATGTATCTGTATAGGAAGCCACCAAGCTTCACGTGGTCCTGTCCATGGAGTAGGGGCCCAGGCTAGGAGCTGGCCTGTTGAGATTCATGGATCACCTCTGGGCACTCAGATATAAAATATGAGCAAGCATCTTCTATGAGCTCTCTGGTCCCTGCAAGTGCCAGATGCGTGTGTGTGTGTGTTCTGCATATTACGGGTTTGTGTGATAGACTGGTGTGAAGATAAAGGATGGGAAGGTAGGAAATGAAAAGGCAGGTGGCAGGCATGGAGAGAGAGAGAGAGAGAGAGAGAGAGAAAGAGAGACAGAGACACAGAGACACAGAGAGCTGCTAAAAGCAGGCGGGCATGGGCATGCACCTGGTGATATGGAGACTCCTCCATAGAGACTCTCATTTTTTGGGAGCCTGAGGAGGAAGCATAGGAATCTTAGAACTCTAGGTAGTGGTTTCTCCTTGTTTATTTGGCTGTATGTGGGTTTTCCACAATGTTCTGTCCTCTCAGTGAGCCCTGTTTGGTTGTAGAACACCCACTTTCCTTGAGGTGGTACCTGGCTCTGCAATGGTAGATTTAGAAATGGCCATCTCCTCTCACCTAGGGTGGGGAAACACTTCCCAGCCCCCAACTTGCCAGTCAGTGGTGCCCCAGCACAGTCTACAGCAGGGAATGGGCCACTGCAGGGTCTAGTCATTCCCAGAAGCCAAGCGCCTTGTGCTGAAGTCAGCAACTACGCACAGCTCACTTTTCAAACACCAGAAAATATCGACAGCACAGCCACATTTTACAGAAGAATACAATCTCCCAGAATAAAGGAAATGAAATAAAATGAAATAAGTCAGTAGCTATGGACCCACTGTTGGGCTTCCCCTTTGCCTGTCAATCTGCCCTGCCAATCCTCACATGTAGTTTTCCACAGAGCTATTGGAGAAACAGTCAGAAAACAGCTTTTATACGACGACACACACCTTATTTTATCCCTCTAGAAATGGCTGCTGTCGTTAGAGGCAGATGGTTTTCCCTTTTGTATTCTTTTTGTCTTCATCAAAATTAAGTTGAAGTATAAAGTTGGCATCCAGTTTCAGGGTTGCAGGTTCGTTGAGAGGTGCTGCTATAAAGACCCCACTGGTGCAAATCCAGTGGGCACAGTGGTTGCTGAGTGATGCTGGGAAGCTTGGGATTCAGGAAGGAGTGGAGTCCCGGGACCTGGGGAAGATGCTCCAGTGTTGCAAGGTCTGCGATGTGTGTACCAATAGCAGCTCTTTGGCTTTTGAAGACCAACCTGAGAGTGGGTAGTGATGTTCTTACATCCCCAATGTAGTCTGTAAGTCAGTGGCAGAGAAAGGTCTAGAACTTCCCCCCTTGGTATGGGCCTTAACCCATGGCCTCTCTAATCTATAGAAGCCTGGTTCTGGATTCTTAAGACAAGCTACCCTGGCATCACCCAAGTGGTACACCTTTGGCCTTCAGGAAGCAACAAGTCACCCCTGCACAGTTGCCATGGCAACTTCAGTGCAGAGGCTTCCTAAGGGCATGGAGAGGAGAAGGGAGGTGGAAAAGGTAACTTCTCTGGAAAAGTCCATTGGCGTCTTTCCCCCGGAAAGCCACATTTGAAGGGAAAAAAAGTAGTGGACATTTGGGGTGCAGAAGAGAAAGGAGGGGGCAGGTTCCAAGAGATGGAAAGAGCAGCATTCCTGGTTTCAGGTGCTTCCCTTCCATTAGAAGAGGCAGGGCAAAGACAAAGGTCAGGGTAGCCCTTGCCAGGTGGTACTGCACTGGAGCCCATGTGCTAGGTCAGAGTGGCCACGTGACCTCGAGCTTTGAGGGGGACCATGGGCTGAAGGTGAAGGAGGGTGTGGGTTGGATGACTGGCTGAGGGCCTCCTGTCAGCCGCAGCAGGATTTCTTCTTGGCTGGGGGGCCAACCTGAACAGTATCCTTCCTCACTGTGTCCTCTTGTTCCTTGAGGAACCTGGGGGAGAAGGGATGATGTCAGCAGCCGAGAAGCTGCTAGGCTCGGGGCAGGCTTCATGGACCAACAGCCCTCACCTGAGCATCAGTGAAGGTTTCAAGTCTCCCTCTGACAGCACAGGTGATTGCAAGGCCAGAAAGCTCAGCCAACATGGGCCTTTCAAGACACCTCCACTGGGAAGTCACCCCTGGTCATCTCAGTGAACCTGTCTGTGCCGCCCAATAGCACCCTGATCCCTCTCTCGTGACTCCATCACTCGGGGTTCACATGCATTGCTTCCTCAGTGTGCTTTGATCTTGGTGACTCTGCAGCCATCACAGTAACCAGCGCATACCTGAGGCTTAGCAAATACCCATTGTTGATTGTCAGCTTTGTGCTCTGTGGCCACAGCTCCAGGTTAGATGTAGGAGGCAGAAGATTAAAAATAATAGGAAGGATCCTGTCCCTGCTCAGTACTTAGCAGGTACTCTCACCTCATGTGTCTCTTGATTCTCACAACACCCTGTGAGTGGGCAGGGAAGGTGTGATTGATGTTCTTACATTTTCAACATAGTGAGTGAGTCAGTGGCAGGGAAAGGCCTAGAACTTTCCCCCTTGGTATGGGCTATAACCCATAGTGTCTATGATATTTAGAAAACTTGTTCTGGTTTCTTAATTGCTCAAATTAAAATATTTTCAGATGTCCCAGCATGAGTGCTGTGTGTAACATGAACACCCTTTAGTATTTGTTAGATGCAGGGACTTATGAATACCTAAGTATTGAGACCACACTCCTGGTGTGGTCTTGTTTTCTTGGTATAGGCAGGCTTGTAAGGAACAAGTCTTTCTATGTGACCAGTCCTTTCAGCCCTGTTCCTGCCTATATTGGGTCTCCCAGTTTGCTTCTCCTTCCCACAGTCCTGCCTCTCTCTGGTTCCTCCCTCTCTGCCCCAGGAACCCATATTGTAACCTCTGCTTGTTTCCAGCTGACCATTGACTAATCCCATTGTGATATTAGCCAGTGCTACAGGACTTCCGATTTGACCCTTCCTGGAGCATTTTCTGGACCAATGGCAGCCTCTACACCTCTGAAGAGGACTGCAATGTGGGTGACAGGCAGGGGCGTTTTCTGTTTCTCATTACTGCTTCAGAAGGCTGGCTTTGCCTCTGAAGTCCCCCATAAAGGCCTAGATGTGCTTGTGCTCAGGGGCTCAGACAGACAGGGAGGGAGGCCCAGGTATGGCCTGGGCAGAGAACAGACATCCCACCAGCTGGGCGTAGCTGTGCTCAGCGGGCTGTTGGTACCTTCCTACCTGGCCAGGTGGAGCAGAGACTCTTTGGTGTTGTGACCGGAACAGGCACTGCACTCATAGAAGATCAGATTGTTCTCCTAGAATCACAGAGCAGAGTGGGCACAGAGAGGGAGCTGGGGGGCCAAGGGAGGTGGAGAAGAGAGAGTCCTCTGCCTCTACTTGCAGCCTTTGCCTCTTCTCTTGACCTTTGAACTCCTCATCTGCCCACCTCACAGTAGATACAGTTGATTTCTTTCCTCTCAGGCCTGTGGCTGATGCTAGCTTTGTGTGTAAATTGCAGGAGAGCTATAACAATGCTGTAACTAATCTGCACGGTGATTTGTGTTTTGCATTTTCTGGACATACTATCAAGAACTTACTCACTCGTTAAGTTCACGCCAGCCTTTGATGCAGGCATAAAGGCCCGGGTAGTCAATGCTGTTTCCACTTCCCAAGCAGGGAAACTGAGGCTAGAAAGGCCATGTGGCAGGTTGGCTTAGGTTACCCATTTAATGAACAGCAGGGCTCCCAGAAGCCACTGTGACAGGACATTGACCTTTTGTGGACCTTAGGCAGAGGTCATGAGGCTCCAGATTCTCTTTCATGCAGTTAATACTCTAGCTGCCAGACTGTCAACACCTCACATGGGGCAACTGTCTATCACTCATTCATTACACAGAGGCAGTGCTGTATACACAGGGCATTCTTGGCCAAGGTCCCCTTAGTCCATTTATCACTTCCCTTAATAGATTGCTTGCTTCACAACAACAATGCTAATGGAACCAGTTTTCGCTTGGATGCTCTGCCTTTGGAGCTTGGTGTCTGTGGTGATGGGGGCCATGGGAGGGAGGACACGCTGGGGACTGTAGCTCAGGAGGCTTTGAAAATAGTGGCTTTCAATTCAGCGCTCCCTATTCGCACCCCCAGGCCCAGCTCCAGCCCCTGGCCTCGGCTGCTATGTGTTTCATCTCTTACTGCCCACCGTCTGTCAGACCCTGACTTCTCTGGCTGTCAGAGGGGCCATTTCAGAGGTGGAGGTGTGGGGAGAAGGGCCCAGGACCTGGAAGACAGGACTTACCTTCCAGCTTCATGTGCTGGCCCCACCTCTATGATACTTTGAATCACTCAACTCCATGTTTGTTTGTGTTTTTCCCCACCAATTGAAAGAGAAAAAAATACAAACTGGGGACGCAGCTCAGTTGGTAGAATGCTTGCCTGGTATGCATCAAGTCTTGGGGTTGATTCCCCATCACTGCATTATAACAGGGCATGGTGGCACACATTTGCAATCCTAGCACTTGGAAGGTAGAGGCAGTAAGATTAGACATTCAAGGCAAGCCTGAAATATATGAGACTTTGACTCAAGACAAAGAATTAAAAATGGAATGATAATAGTAATAATAATAATATAGGTCTTCATTTCTTCAGCTGAAATCTTTTGATCTAGATGAATTTGGAAATCAGAAGTTTTTGAATTTTCCCAAGGTAACATTTGTATACTACACATTACATAATATACTCAGTGGGTCTGAGACAGCACCCTATAATCAAATATATTAATATTTCTTCAATGAGACGTGAATATTCATAGAAGCATAAGTAGTCTCATGTCAGTTCCACTCAGATTTCCTGCCAGATGGAACACAAAAGACCCTTCCTGTTTTTAGAGTGTTTGGATTTCAGAATTGTGGACATGTGACTGACTGTTCACTGTCCCTACAAAGACACCAGCCGGGCCCTTCATCAGCCTTTCCCTTTCAATCTTACCACCCACGCTCACCTACCAGGCTCTGAGTTTACTTCCTGTTTCAAGTAAGCCCTGAAAGAATCACAGAATCCCCATGCTGCTAAGCACCCCATCTGCCCAAGTACACAGCTCCACAAAACCAGAGGCAATAAAGAACATCGGGAACCCCAATCTGCTGCTTTCCACTGTGCCTTGCTGATCCCATTCATGGGCCCAAAGCCTGATGTACATTTTGATGGCAGGCTTTCCTGTACCTCCCCTGAGTTCATCTTCAGTTCACAGCTTTGAGGCTCCATCTTCATAGCACCCTATCCTTTAGCAAAGTGGCCCACACTGCTACCCGGCAGATGCTGAGGTTTTCATCCTCAAAGGTGACCAAGTGGAGATGCCGATGGCGGCCTTTAAGTGCTGGAGCAGTATTGAAATGAACAGTCACTTGTTTTCCTAGAATTTACAGTTCTGTGTTCTCAGTAAGGGGTTTAGAACACTTCTCACGGCTCGTGTTCTCCGTCCAACTCGATTTTGTCCTTCTTTGAAGAGTTCTGCATGTGTAGGCCCAGGGCCAAGCCCAAGATGCCAAGACACTCATTCGCCCAATTGCTTTCCTTCCATAGAGCTTCCAGAAATTCCCAAGGCTCTGGCCCAGGCTAAGGGTCCCTACCCTATTCAGAGAGAGGGAAATGATGATGGCTCTTTACCTTGGCAAGCTGTTCTCCGAGGCCCCGGGGGACTTCTCGCTCCTTCTCATTGTCAAGTTTATTGCCCAACAGAAGAACAGGAATTCGGTCTCCCACAGCTTCCTGCAGAGTAGAGCATCCCTTCACTGAGAGAAGCCTCCACAGAGACACCAGAGGGCAGGCTCAAAGTGCCATCTGGAAAGATCCAGGCTCATGTGAGAGGCACCTTGTCTGAGAGTTCCTGTACACTGTGTTTCTGCAGAGTGCCTGCTTCTGGCTCCCTCCCACCCCCACCCCCATCTGTGCAATGGCCTCTCCCATCTCACCACCCTCTTTGGCTCTTGGATGGAGCACATGGACTTTCCAGCTGTACTGGGGAGGAGGTAGCAGATGAGGGGACAGTGGACACCAGTACGTCCTTTTCCATGACTTTACGGTATCCCTGAGAGCATCCTAAGGGACCAGACCTAGACTAATGAACCAGAATGAACCCAGGGAATTAGTGTGTTTTGGAGTTGATCTGTGACAACTAGGATTAGAAGTGGCATCTAGCATCTCTGATGGATACATTAAACCCCCTGAGGGTTGATCCAAATCTGAGTCACACGGTACTGGGCCACAGAGCTCTGTAAGTAGCTGCTGTAAAGCTAATTGGAAGCAGGCACTATGATGGATCCATACAATTGGGGGCTTGACTGTGAATAAAGCTGTGCTTAAGGAAGAACTGTGTGCCCCAGCATCTGTACTTCTTAGGCCAGAAGTCACAGGCTCACTTAAGGTACCCACTGTGTTTGCTCTGTGGTGACTGTGGTACATCAGTCAGGGGTCACGTCCTGGGGTCTCTGTCCCCAGGGGTGTTGCATGTGTCCCTCCTGAGCCAGAACAAGGGCCTGGGATGCAGAGCCACACATTGAGTCAATATGGTAATGTTCACATTTAAGAAGGCTGTTATTTTTACTTTGTGAAATCCTTAATTAGGGACTTTTAATCATAATTTGGTAACGAATAGTTATTCACAGTAGCTAAATGTTTTTCTAAATAGAGGGACTGTTGGATAATAGAAGCTTATAAGTATAAGTTATGACTTTGCCAATACCCTTCCTACTTTACTTCAGCCCTGCACACAAATGGCTAGAGTGTTCCACTGGGAACACCTACTTTAAATGCAGTTACCTCTGAAATGAAAGCCTCAGTGTTTCCTTATCTGAACATTCCTTTCTACTGGAGTTGAGTGGTAGAAAATAATTTTCATTTACCATATGAAAATCCTGGGCTCAGAGAACCACAAAACACACTCAACAACAAAAGTTAGGAGGACCCTTTAATACAACGGTCCACAATTTTCTGCCCTTTATTGTCTAGGTTTGTGTTTCTGATGAACACTCTGCTGCTTAGTATGCTACTAAGGAGAATGCTCTGTTGCTTGGGTTAGAAGTGACACCTACTGGGAAGGGACTAATTAATGTTCGTAATGATGGTACATGTCTTGTGACCCATCTCAGTCAATTAAAACATATTTGTATTTGATGTGTTAAGCAAATTGTACCTTCTTTCAATTATCTGAAATGGAGAAACCCACTCAATAGTATATACAGACTGCTGTTGCTCCCTTTTAGCCTAGTGTCAGTTAATGGGAGTGTCCCCGTTCCATTGACTAAGCTGTAAGTAACTAAATACTTATGCAAAGAGTTTTCCACAGAAAAGGAAGAAAAGAGGGAGATGCAGGGAACTGGGCCAAACGATTGACTTGCTGTTTAAAGCACATGAGAAAGATGTATTTGTAGACTTATGTGTGAAGAGTGACTAAGGTTTGTGGGATTTCTTGACAAGGAACTTCGACTCAAATATGAGCATCAAACCTGGAATCTCGGGGTAGAACCCTGACAAAGGTTTTATTATTAGGCGGGAATGGGGGACTGGATGTTGAGTGGGATGGGGCGTGGCCTAATCCTCAAATCCTAACACCTGGGCCCTGTTCACCTCAAACAGCACTGCTACATTGGGGAAAAGACAGTCTTCTCTCTTTAGAATCATTCCTAAAATAGAAAAGAAAAAGTTTAGAAAGAGCAGGAAAAAAGTCAAGTGCCCAGCTGGAGCTGTGAGTCCTGTTTTTGTCTGTTCCTATCTTACACAGCCACTCTGGGCCACGCTTCCTCTCCATGAACCTTGGCCTGTCTGTGATCATCAAGAATGAGGCCCATCTTTAAGACAAATAAAAGAACACAGGCAAGGCCAGAAGGTGTGCTAACTGTGACGGGTGGTCAGTCATCACCGCCTGTCCCATCACTTAGTGAGGGGGAGGCTGGGCACGGTGGTATGTCTTCTGACCATCCCCAATTCCCACCCCCATCTTGAACTATCTGCTTGAAGTTTATGCCTTCTTATTCCTAACTTCTTCAGAAGCACAGAGAGCCTTGTAATTACCTATTTGATGCCGCAACATTTTTAAAGGAAATTTATCATTCTTTGATGCTGGGGATGGAACCCAGAACCTTGCACATATGTGCAAGGTAAGCACTAGACCACTGAGCCTACATCCCCAGCCTGACACTGTTTTTGAAAGTCAAGAGTGCACCTTTATTAAACCTCAGAGACTTTGGTGAAGAAGACTTGTTTCCACCTAAACTCTGATATTGATGTTCTAGAATCCGAGAATACACACCACAGGCCAAACTGAGCTGATGGCTCATTGGCCAGACACACATTCTGTCCTTAGGAGACTGGGTATTGCCACCATCTCTCTGGGAGATTCCCCAAGTGGTTCCTGTTTCCTGAGTCTCTAGTCTCTTGGTCTGTGAAATAGGCTCATAGAACAAATCTCTGTTCTAAAATGTTCTAACAGAGAAGACTTTCTACACCTTTCGTCGTGATAACTGCCTTTCTCTGAACTTGATGGAAGACAGATTTGTTGAAATTCAAGATCACCCATCTCTAACTTTAGAGAGCAAGAGCTGTCAATTCAGAGCAGAGGACTGTCATTCAGCTCTGGGTGCACAGCTGCTGGATCGGGCTGGGGTGTGTGTGTGTGTGTGTGTGTGAATATCTGTTTTCTGGGAGACATGAAAAAGCAGTTGGCTGGGAGAATGCTGCTATTTCTCTGGAGCCAGAAAAAAAAATTCTCAGCACATTAAAGTATGCCGTTATGCTAAGAAAAAAAAATGACTGCAAAATTATATCTTGGGGGTTTCCATATTTATCCACCCCCTGGACTATGAGTCAAAACAAGATTTATTTGTGTAGTTAGTTTTAAACTGCCAGCACTTCAAGCTCAACCTGGAATGTGGGTGAAAAAAAAATCCAACTGCTATTTTTGCTCCATGCTGTACATTGTCACTAAGGACAAAGATCACACAGTGAGATTCAGCTTGCAACCAGGAAGAAGAGGGAAGCCAGCAGAAGCCAGCCAGAAAACGTTCTGCTTTGAGACTGAAGCAAGAAGGCCTGAAAAAGTAAATGTGTACATCTATGTTTTAGCAGCAGATTCCAACGTGGGCCATGTGATGTGAGGGAACCACCACACAGCGGCCAAGTCCTGCACCCCAGTCTCGCCGTACCTCTGACAAGCCGTGTATGCTGCACCGTTCTGGCCATATTTCATATTTACTTCCTTGACTTATGGGCCTTACAATATGGTGCTCTCCAGATGAGTAAAGAAAAAAAGATCTAAATGAAAGTTCAATACCCAGTGCCCAGTGCAGGCATTGAGGATTAACAGCCTGAACTTGGGGCAATGCCAGCTTACACAGACTATGTCCAGTTCTGTTTCCTGTACTGGATGCAGGCCCCAAGTCTTCAGATGTCTAGTTTGCCCATGGTCTTAACATGGCCTCCTTCAAGTCCAACCCCTTCCTTCCCTAAATTGGAATGGTTAGACCAATTTTCCCAGAGGTGATGAGAGGATCAAGAGTGGGCTGGGAATTCAGGAAGAACTAAAACCTGTGATTTCCTAAAGTCTCACCGTCAAATCTGTGCACACTGCGTCTGCACCTAGCCCTAGGCTCTCCTGTATAAGGCCAGTAGCAAGGTGACTCTGTCCAGTGTGGGGAGGACTTGGGGAGGGTGAGGCAGGAGAGCAGTTGTGAGGGCAGGATCCTCCCACCTCATCACAAAGGGTAGATTCTATAGTTAGGATGAGTTTGATCACCAAGGGTTGTCTCTGTTGGGAGGTGGGGCCTTTGAGGGATGGGGCCTAGCAGGGGTGTTAGGTCACTGAGGGGTATACCTTTAGAGGGAGTAACATAGTTCTCATGGGTCCCTGATTAGTTCTTCTGAGAGGATGTTATAAAGAGAGCAAGTCTGGCCCTTCGCCAGTAGTAGTCTAAAAACTACTGGATCTCTCTCTTTTTAATATGTATTTATTATTTTTGTTTTACTTATATGAGTGTTTTGCTTACATGTATGTAAGTACACCCATGCCATACAGTGCCCACAGAGATCAGAAGAGGGCGTCAGATTCCCTGGAACTGAAATTATGGATGGTTGTTAGCCATGACGTGGGTGCTGGGATTGGAACCTGGGTCTTCTGTAAGAGCAGCCAGTGCTCTTAACACCTGAGCCCTCCCTCCAACCCCCAAAGGAATTCTTTTACATATACACACCCCATGATGAGATCTGCCATGATACATACAGTTAAGTGGGCCCTCATCAGAGCTGCGCCAGCCCAGGCATCATGCCCTTGATCTTCCTAAACTATGGGCTAAATAAACTTTTCTTCATCTGTACCTTCCTCAGATATTTTGTCATATGAGAACCAGACTAATTGTCTAGGTCTTATCTTACATGGAAGGAATCTGCTTTCCTTCAAACTGGAAGGACCTTCAAGGGTCTTCTCATTTACATGCATTCCAGCTCTATCCTGCACCCTAAAAGTCTAATGCTATACACTGTGGAATTGTGGGGGACAGAAGGAGCCTTCCAGAGTACCTGGTCTCCTCCCACAGGAAATGATTGGCCCAAGTGGCAGGGCCAGGAAGTGGCCAAGCTGTGATGGTAAGAACTTTCCAGAGCTCTGAGCATCTGTTCCCTCTCCACACAACCTCTTCCAAAAGCCCGTCTTTCCCCGTGTATGGCGAGCATGGCAATTTAAGGCCTCCTTCCTTGGGCTGCTCTTCAGGTGGAGGGAGGAAGGGGCACTGGGAACAGCTGGCCACCATTCAGTTAATAACAAGGCTTCAAGCCCTGAAGACTATTATTAAAGCTCCCCCTCACCCTCCTTCTCCAGGCGAGGGAGTTGGCAAAGTGCTCTGAGCTCTTTGAAAAAAAATAAGGTTCTCTACAAATATAAAGTACTTATTATTTTCAGTTCCCCTCAGATCAAATTAGGTGTCAAGTTTTAATCTATCACTTGACACCTCTGATTGCTGGTTGCCAAGGCAGAATGACTTAGCTTTTCAAGAATTGGGAGAATAATTGCATCTATGATGCTTCTGTTCCACACCTTCAACACAGTCAACCATTTGGCACAGCCTCCTACATTGCTCCGGAGACCCCACGCCATTGAACTGAATGCCTTTCCTAGTCCATCCTACCCGGTTCTCTAAAGTGTCTAGTGAGTGCTGGGCACGTGGCCTGTTGTCAGCTAATTCTCACTGAGGGGTCAGGGATGTTTTGAAAATTGACTCAGAGCCTTGCTGTTCCAAGGCTGGAATAGCATTAGCCTCCCTATGAAATTATTGGAAATTGAAAATCTCAGTCCCCACCCCACATCTGCTAAATTGGTCTACCTTTTAACAAGATTCCCCAGGAGACTTCCAGATAGCTCAGCATTTAAGAGGCACCTGTTTATGCTGGGAACCCCTTGGACAGCTGTTACTATTACTTTTTAATTTCCAGGCCCTGGGTCATTCCATCTAGAGGGAAAGCCTTGCCATTGGTGTTGTTCAGGAGGGCCACAGGTGAGCCTGATGTTCATCTGGGACCATTTACAGTTCATTTCAAGTTCAACAGTACCTTCCATCAAAACTGTTTTCAAAGACAAAACTCAAACTACAAATAATTCATACTTAGATGATTCCAAGTTAGCGATGTACAAATTACCACCCCAGTCCTGCATCCAAACCCATGGGTGATTCGAGGCTTGGGGGTGGGGGTGGGGGCTCACCAGATACCTGCTCATGGTGCTGACAATACCATTCCACCAGGGACGGGCACATGGTTTCCTGGAGAAGGACTGAACTCATATTCTAGTCTGCAATGACACCGTCTAAGATTTCTTCTCCACTACCAGATTCAGCCTGATCTCCTGTCCCTCTGGCTAGATCCCAGCTTCTCTGAGAGTCTAGAAACTCTAATGGCTACAGAGAACCCAGTTCCATGTTTGCCTCCATCCACTCCCAGTCCAGACATAAGGATGGCCAGTTCCCAGCTCATACTGCAATGTAGATGGGCGGGGCGGGGGGGATTACATGTGTGAGGATGGGCAAAGAATGTGAGGCCTTGAGGAAGTTACAGGCTTAGTTTCTTCATTTCAGAATGAGATCTGTTATACTTGATTGCACAGACAATTTTCAAATGACCCTGTTGTCTAACAATGTTATACTCAGACATCCAATGTACAAAGCTGAAGAAAAGATGAGCAGGTAGGTTTGGGAAAGAACAGGGGTGGCTAGAACTGTGACCACTAAACCATTCCAGGCCCTGCCCCACTTTCTAGGAAATGTGACTCTGATTCCAGGGTTTCCAAGGACAAAAGCCTAAAGAACTACTGGATTAGATAATCCCTAATGTTTCTTTTGGTGCTGCCAACAACAAAGAAGGAAACCAGGGAGGAAGAGGAAGAAGAGGATGGGGAGGAGGAGGAAGAGGAAGAGGAAGAAGAGGATGGGGGGAGGAAGAAGAGGAAGAAGAGGAGGAGGAAGAGGATGGGAGGAGGAGGAAGAGGAAGAAGAGGATGGGGAGAGGAGGAAGTGGAGGATAAAGGGGACGAGGAAGAAGAGGAGGGGGAAGAGGAGGAGGAAGGGGAGGAGGAGGAAGAGGAATAGGAAGAGGAGGAGGAGATCCATGTCATGAATTTCAAAAGTTTAAGCAGGATCTAGCCATACATTTGCCTCCCTCATTAGCTTGGTGAACACACAATCCATGACATTTCAAAATTTAAATTTGTAAGCATTTTAGGCACAGTAATTTTGAGACATGGTTTGTATTAAGCAACTGTGGTAGCTAATTTTGGTTGTCAACTTTTAAGCACCTGGGAAGAAAAAGCCTCAACTGAGGAATCTCCTCCATCATATTGACTTGTGGACATTTTCTTCATTGCTAAATGATGCAGGAAGACTTAGCTCACTGTGGGTGGTGCCAACTGTGGGACTGAGTTGTATACAAAACTGTGGGTTGTATGGCTATAGGTAGCTATGCTGGGCATGGTAGCACATGCCATTAATCCCAACACTTGGGAGGCAGAAGCAGGCAGATATCTGTGAGATTGAGGTCAGTCTGGACTACATAGTGACTTCCAGGCCAGCTGGGGCTGTAGGGAGATTATGCCTCAAAAAAAAAAAAAAAAAAAAAAAGGCAACTGTGTAGAAGAAGAGAAACAAGCAGGTAAGCAGCGTTCCTCTGTGGTCTCTGCTTCAGTTCCTGCCTCCAGATTCCTGCCTTGAGCTCCTGCCCTGGCTACCCACAATGACGGGTTACAACAACTGGAATAAATCCTTTCCTCCCCAAGTTGCGTTTGATCAGTGTTTTAAGAATGCAAACTAGGACAGCAATTTTCTCCAGATATCCTTGAATCTGTTCACATCTAGTCCTTAATTTTCTATGTAAGGGGAAGCATGCAGATTAGCACCTGAGAAAGGCTGTGGCCCAGTTGGGTGATGCTCTGGGAGAGGTAGATTCGGGTGGGAGGACTCAGGTGTCAGGGCCAAAGGGAAGGAAGAAATCAATTACCTAGTGTGGAGGCTTCACACTAGACTGGCCATTCACCCATCTAATATCTTTGGAGTACTAGCTGTGAGGGACCACTGCCAAGCATCTGGTAACAAGGACAGAAATAAGGCTTTTATTCCCATGAGGCACCAGGACAGCATGGGGCACCAGTCAGGAATCCTGTAACCTATAACACGGTGACAAGAATGTGATGGAGGCTAAGTTAGCCCACATGGGCTTGGAGTAGAAGGTTGACCCTATGCCTATTGGAGGTAGGAGCTCTGTGGCATTCATTGCTATTTCTGGACCCCTGGGGTACTGGGGGAATCGTCATGAATAAATAATGGATTCTGCTGGAGAAAGGGATTGGGCCACTCTCCTTGACTATTGTGTGATGATAAGTGGCTTGTCTACACTGCCTTTGGCTTTGAAAACCTGCACCGAAGTGGCAGAGGTAGGCAAGCATCTAAACAGCAAAGACTTTGCAGTTACCAAGCATCCTACCATAAATGTGACTGAGGAAAATGGGGGGCAAGAGGGGAGGTCTGGCAGCTGATCCAGAGTCCAAGGAACACATTGCTCCCAGGCCTTTGGCTCTGGAAGAGCCAGGAGCCCTCAGACCAGTCCCCAATCCTTGTGTAAAGGGTTGTGGCAGGTATCCCAAACACTGCATGGATGACTCCTGGGCAGGTGCAGCCAGACCCTCTGGAGCCGAAAGGATGTGGAGTGGAGATCAGTGGTGAGTGAGGGGGAGAATTCAGATGTGACTCAGTCTCCCTGGAGCTCCACTCTGCTCCTCTCCTGATCCAGCCCCTCACTTAGCACATAGCATGGGGGTAACTCCAGAACAGCTTGTACTTGGCTTTAACTATGCCACAGACCAGTAACTCAAGGGATAAAGGTTTACCGGGCTACAGGTTCTGAAAACAAAGAAATTGAAGATCCAGCAGCTGCATAGGGTAGAGGGGCTTCTGGTTTGTGGGGACTCTGCAGGGCTCAGGGGGTGAGAGGGAGCATCCTTGCTCTGATCTCCCCCTCTTAGAGTCACAGACCTTCCCTTATCTTCTCATTTAAGCCTCAAGTCCCACCTCCAAACACTACTGTCAGACTAAGCTTCCAGCCTGTGGGTATGCCACACTGGGGCTCAATTTCGATGTGAGTTCTGGTGTGGACATGCAAACCACAGCATGGGGGTGATCTGTAGTTCTCATGAGCCCCTGTCCCCATGGGGCTATGTCTGCCTTGTCTACTTATGATCTCCAGTAAGCAGCCACAGGAACCTGGATGAATAGACAAATGGTCTGGCCAGGTGAGCCCCAAATGAGGCTAGGCACAGCAGAGGGCCAGCGGGGAGAGGCCAGGAGGAGAGGGAAGATGGGAAAACTGAAAGTATTCCAGGAAGATGGCTTCTCACCTCCACATTGCTGAGCCACTGACGAACCGAGAGAAAAGACTGCTTAGCTGTGAGGTCATACATGACAACAACACCGTCGGCTTTTCTGAAGAACTGCTGGGTGACACAGCGGTACCTGTCACAGGAGAGCCGCCTTGAGGATATGTGCCTTTCTCCGGGAGCCCCGACCTGCAGGGGTGGCTCCTCACCTTTCCTGCCCAGCTGTGTCCCACAGCTGCAAGGCCACCTGTGAGTTGTCCACAGTGACTGTCTTTACACGGTAGTCAATACCTGCAAGGTTGAATGGGCCTATGAGAGCTGCCCTGCATTTGATTCCAGATCAGGAAATGGTACCTCCGCATCTGAAACCATGGCGGATGATGTGACAACCTTCCCTGTGTAACCCCTGGGGGACAATGTGGGGAGCTGGACTGAGTGTCAAATAGGGAGGCAGGAGAGGTCCTGTCTCGGCCTGTGGGGCCCTCATAACATCATGGAACATCTCTCAGCATCAGGGCCCTCATTGTACTGTACTGTACCTACTCTGGGCATTGGATGAAGTATCATCAAATCAGTGAAAGCAACAGGAAAAGAAGATAACCCTGAGATTCAGGAATCTACTTCCTGATTGGGATGACTATCTCCAAATTAATTCCATCCCTCCCTCTCTCCCCACTCCTCTCCTTTTGGCTAAAATACTTTCAGAATCTCCCTAATATACTCAAGCGTCCTGAGCAGATGGATCATACTTCAATATTTCTAACAGGCAGTCCAAAGGTGTGTGGAGAAGAGGACCAAGAGGAGGAGCAGGAGGAGGAAAGAGGAATTGGAAGGTAGAGGAAAGAACAGAGAAGAGGTAGGGGAGGGAGATAAAGGCAGCATTCACCCTTGAGAAGGGTCTAGAAACTCTTGACTTGTCACCAGGCCATTCAGGATTGTCTCTCCAGTTGTGTCTTTCCTGGGTTTGTCTACCCAGAGGGCCTAGGTATAGGTCAGCAACATGAAGTCTGTATTTCCAGTAGCCCTCAGAGACAAAGGTCTCAATGCAGGGGCATCCAGCCTTATGGTTTCTTTAAGCCAAACTGGAAGATGAATTGTCTTGGGCTACATATTAAATACACTGTGGCCTATGGGATCTGAGCATATAAACATTTTATTTTGTGTTTGGCCATATTCTCAGCTCTCTCACAGTACATGTGGCCTACTGGCCACCGGTTGGAAACTTTCCCCCATTATAGACCTTATTCTTGTCTGTGACCTGTCAGAATATTCAAAGACATGTTAAGATGTTTCAAAATGCTTTGTTTCTGGGACTAGAGAGATGCCTGAGCTGTTAAGAGCACCGATTGCTCTTGCAGAGGACCCTGGGTCCAATTCCCTGCACCCACATGGTGGCTAACAACTGTGAGTGACTCCAGTTCTAGAGGGCTCTTGGGGTCTCTGTGGGCATTACATGTTTACGGTGTACTTAAGTACACTCATTCATACACATACAGTAAAAATAAATAAATGAAATTAAAAATTAGAAATAATAAGGTTGCTTCAAAAAAGTTTTCCTCCTCAAGGCTCCTGATTGGGGAGCTTGAAAGCAACCCATCTCACCTTCAAAAATAACCCATGAAGTCCTCGCCCTGGAGGGATCAGAAGCAGAACCAGCAACAGCCCCCAACAGAAAGAAACAGACAACACCTGGCAATTACAGAAGAGGCAGGAAATGGAAAGGTCACCCCAGGCCCTTTGCTTCATAGGCAGGGGTAGAGGCAGGAATGGATTTGTCTGGGCAGAGAGAAAGAATAAGAATGCTTTGTTATGTACCTACTGTTTCCTCTTTTGCTGTGTCCCAGAGACATCTACAGGAGTGTTATAATCTGCACACACACATACACACACACACACACACACACACCATGGAGAGGAGACATGAGAATTGCAATCCAGGCACCTCCTTTGCCTGGGCTGGTTGGAAGCTGTGGTGAGCTGTAAGCCCTGTGTGAGGCTCCCCACTTTACTTCCAACATCCTCACATGAACCACTGACCATCTAGTGCTTCATTCCACCCAGGCAACCTAAAGCCATGTGCTCCCATTGCAACTACTGGCTGTTGACTCCTGCTGAATCCAGGGGTGAGATTTTTTCTTGGTTAAAAGAATAAGGGTAGGGGGTCCCCCCAACAGTGTGTGCTCTGGAGAAAGCCCTTTCCTGCTTTCTAACTACTATAGGAAAACCAACCATGGATGCTGCACTGGCAGGGCTAGATCTGAAACCAGCAGGCTGGAAGCCAAGAACAGAGTCTTGAGCTTACTGGCAAGGCACACAGGGGAAGGACAGATGGGTGCTGCTGGAGGCAGGTGGTCTTGGCTGCCTGCATCCAGCAAACCTGCTCTACATTATTGGCTGCGTTAAATGATGGACAGGAGCTTGTCTTGCAGGGAATGAGTGAAGTAGACAGAGGGCTGGATGAAGGTGTTCTGTGTTGTGGTGAGCTTGGTGTGAGTCCCTGCTGGACTGCAGGGCATTCTTACTGCAGTCTCAGACAAGCAGCTGGAGAAGCAGATAAGCAAGTTCACAGAGGCTGTGTGTACAGAGAACACAAGGATAACATGAGGTAAGGAGGGAGTGATAGCACCGGCACATCGTGGCAGGAGAGCAAGAGCTCGACCGAAGAGGCTGTAGACAATGTAAGGCTGGAATAAATGAACTTTAAGATCACCACAAGCTCTCAAGATCTAAGCACCAGGAGACCTGGATTCTGTGTCCCTGTCTCCAGTCTGCAGCTGCTCAGCAAGATGACGCTTATGATGTCATTTCACCTAATATTAGTAGTTTAGTTTTTCTGTATACCTAGGTAGATGGAGGTTTGAAGGGGTTGAGGTGGGTGTTTTCATGATCTTTAAGTTTAAATATTTTATTTATTATTTTTGTTATTATTTATGTGGAGTGTATTGTCTGCATGTGTGTAAGTGCACCTGTGTCGTGCAATGCCTAGGGAGGTCAGAAGAGGGGGGCAGATCCCTGGAACTGGAGTTATAGACAGTTAACTGTTAGCTGCCATGTGGGTGCTGGGAATTGAACCCAGGTCCTCTGCAAGAGCAGCCAGTGCTCTTAAATGCTCAGTCATCTCTCCAGCCCTGTCAAGATCTTTAAGTTTAGATGGAAAATCCAATGATGACACTGAGGGGCCCTTCAACTTACAACTTGAGTGGACATAACGGCTGAGGTCAAGGACGTGTCACCAGAAGTGCTTTGTAAAGATGGTATGAGTGACAGCTGGGATGAGGAATCCCAGAAAGGTGACATTAGCTTTTCTGGAGAAGACAGGCCTAGGCTTTCACTATGCAGGGAGGGTGTGTGTCTGATCAAGACGCCTTGTAGTAGAGTATAGAACACTGTCAGGAGAAGCACACAGCTTAGGAAATGAACATCCAGGGCTAGGAAGGTATCCTTCTTCCCTAATGGGTTTATGCTGGAACCATGACTTGTGGGGTTCATGTTGGAATACCCTTCAGGAAAACCAGACTGTTTGCCTGGAGCCCTTGCAGTGCCGCTCCATGGTCACTGCACTTGGTTCCTCTCAAGAGCAGCTAGGTCTGACTCTCCTGGACTTGGATCCAGGGCCTTCCCTACTTCCCCTCAGCTCTGATATTTTGCCTTGGGATATTCTCAGTCCTTGGGTGGAGTAGAGTAGAGGGAGGAACAAGAGGATGCTCCCCATGTGACAACTGTGAGAGACCCATGGATAGGAGAGACAGAGGGGCTGGTCTAGGGTGATAGGAAGAAGCCTAGTCTCTCTAGGCAGGACTCTGGAGCTTGGGAAGTTTGCCTTGCAGAACCAGCTTGTCAGAAGATGATCTGGCTAGATACCTAGGCTTGGGAGCAGTTTTAGGAGAACCTAGATCAAGTGCCTTCTTTTTCACATGAGAAAAACAACAGAAGCCCAAAAGGACTGCGTCATCTTGAGGTCACAGAGCCAGTCAGTGCCAGAAGTAGGATAAGGACCCAGGACTTCTGATGTCCCATGGAACCTCTGCAATCTTTCCTGCCCCCAGCCTCTTCCCACCTCCTGAGGCAGAAGAGAACTCCTACCACTCTCTAGATGCCAAATGTATATAATGCAATGTCTTCAAGGTGCTATGGAAAGGGCTAGAAGGTGTATTGGGAGCAGTTGTCAGTACTAATCAGTGGATAGAGCTCTTAATCTCCGAGTTTCAGTTTCCTGATCTATTGGGCTATCACAGTGTAAGGATAGATTGAAATGATGGATACACAGGACCATGGTCAATATTCAGATAACATGAATATATTGTCAAATTCAGTTGACTCATCAACTTGGCTACATAGAGCACATTAGGCATTCAACAGATTTTTCTATTGTTCAATGATTCAGCTTTGTAACAGCTGAAAGGTCAATATGCCCTTGATCCTGCCACATGTTCCAGCGTAATGCAAAGCTTTGGGTAAAGCAATTAAAATATCTATTTGAATAAAATATTATCCAGGAGTGGGAACACATTCAGCCTATGATTATCCATTAGCAGCCGAGCCTAATACAGTTAATTCCAGATGCTACCCAGCAGGTCTGAGACACAGGATAGGTAAAAGTAGATAAGTAAAAGAAGGCTTGTAGAGTGCTGGACATGCATGTGCCCACAGGCCTAGTGCCAACGCAAGTAGTCAGTGGGCCCATGGGAAAGGTGATAGTGGTGACAGGGTTTGACTTTGGGAGAGTCTCTGTCAGCTCTAGAAGAGGTTCGTAGTTTGGTTGAAAGTGAAGAAGAAAGGAAAGCTAGATGGGGGGCTCACAGAGAGGATAAGAGATTCCAAGTACACCTTGGTCAACCTCTACTCTCCAAATCCAAGACTGGGTTTACAAAGCCCTCAGGGTCTCCCGGATCCACAGGGAGGTCAGTCACCAGGCAGTGTCAGGAAAGGTGGATTTCTTCTTGCCCCTTCCAGCCCACTGCCCAGCAGTACCACTGTTCCTCCCCTCCATTCCCTCCCTGGGCAGAGAACTCACCCACAGTGGCCGCCATGCCTGGGGAGAAGCGGGCCTCACAGAGCCTCCGAAGGAAAGAGGTCTTCCCTACCGCAGAGTCGCCCACAAAGACAATCTTGAAGAGACGGTCTGGAGTAGAGGGAATGTTCTCTTCCTGTGGATGGCAGACAGTCTGACCACCTGTGGGGCATGGCCACTAGCCCCTGCTACTGCCAGATTTGCCCTTGACCATCCCTGCAGTAGACCACTGAGACCTCAGCACCAGGGAGGACACTCAACAGCTTCAGAATGTAGCTAGTGCTGGGCTTGGAGCCTGGGGTTCCTTGGAGAACAGCCACCACTCACATATAATGCATGCCTGGGACAAGCCTCTCAGGGACAAGCAGGTCAGCCTGGCTGATGGAGTTTGTAAATAAGTACTAAGAATGTGAAGTTCCCAGAGCTCTTGGGTCTTGAGAGCAGAGGCTTAGAGAGAAGGCAGAATCCTCAATGGGAGGGAAGGGCAAGGTGGTTCTTGAGAGAACAGAGAAAAAAGACTCAATAGGGTTGGATACTGTTGCTTTGAGTTGAAACATTCTTTCTAGGAGAAAGGAGGGAGGGAGGTTCCTAAGACTCAGGAAACTTAGAGGACTCCACCCAAAGGTTAGATAAATAGTAACAACTGGCAGGGAGGAGACTCTCTGGAGGAGCTGCCTTCAAGTTGTGCAAGGAACTCCAGAGATGCTTTTCCATGATGCTTGTAAGGAACCCCTAGTAAACTCATAGCTTCCTCGTTGGAATTGTTTCTTCGCCTCTGTCACTGGTGTCTCTGAGGTGAGAGATATTGTTCACATGCCCCTAGGGTAAGTCACCCAACAGGTGTGCAGCCTCTGGGTGGAATGGAGACCCTCTTGTCTCTTTGCACATGCCCTTGAGTCCCCTCCTCAGCTTCCATTGAGGCATGGTCACTTCCCTCTCTCTCAGATAGCCAGGTGGGGAATCTCCCTTTTCTATTCAGGAAAGTGGAGCATCCTTAGAGGCAACCAGCTACTGCTTGGTTTCACCAGTCTCAGAAGACAGAGCTGGAAATGGCTGGCACCCCAGCCTGGGACTGTGAGTCCCAAAATGGCTGAATTTGGTCTAGGGCACAAATCCAACAGAAGGTGGTCTAAGAGGCACCTCCTGCTGGTGGCCAGAAAGCTGTTTTCTCATCATGCCTCTCCTTCAGGCTTCACTCAGCACTGCTGGTCAGAGGATGAGGCTCTTTGGAGTGGGTTTAAAAGTGGATTTGGAGGGAATTAGCAACTGCGGTCAAGCAAACACTATAATGAAGCTAAGCTGATATTAGCACTACTTGAATTTCAGAACTGAGCCATTAACAGACTTTGGGGAAGAAATGCAGTATTCAGGGAGGAATTTAAGGTCAAGAATAGGCATTTAAGATACAATGAAAATACCAAAACACAATGCCCCACCCCATTTTCTTTAGACATGCAATAAATGGGGTACTGTGTACCTCCAATTGTTTGAGACAAATGTATACACCAATCTATATGTCCCAGGCTCAGGATGGAGATAGAAATGTGAAACCCAAGTGGAGATGGCAGAGGTGGTGGCTGTGGCCCTAATGGCAGAGGTGTTGCCTGGCCCCCAGCTCTGAGGTCACCTCCATGCTCCACCTGGGCAGAGTTTTGCTTCACAGGCATAAGCTCATAGACCCATGGACAGTCTGGCTTTGGGTGGCTTCACTCACAGAAGCTGTGACACCCTACTCAATGTGTGTGCCCTAAGCCTGCTATGCCCTCTGGGGGACAGTCCACCAGCCAAGTGACAGTGAGGTGGTGGCCTGCAAGGAGGGGCAGGGTAAAGTTAGCCTGGCTCTTACACTGGGACATACCCTATCACTCTCTCCTACAAGCTTACAAAAAGGGTTAAGGTGCAGCTCACAGGCAGAATGCTTGCCCAGCATGTGCAAGGCTCAGGTTTCTAGCCTCAGTACCACCAAACGAAACAAACAGACAAACAAGCAACTGAAGAACAAAACCCCACGCCCAAACCAGAAACCAAAAACCTTCAAATAAAAGTGATACATTCCGGGCTGATGAGATGGTTCAGTGGTAAGTGCACCTGCCGCCAAGCTTGTCAACCTAAGTTTGATCCCCAGGACCTGCATGGTGGAAGGAGAGAACTGATTCCTACAAGTTGTCTTCTGACCTCTACACATGCATCATATGTGTGGTACCCACACATATACACAAATAGATAAAATAAATATACTAAAAATTTTAAGTGATATATTGTAATTTTTAAACTTTGGAAATTCACAACTATGGGGGAAAAAGCAGTAATTCTTTATAATCTGAAATTGTCACTATTTATATTTTAGGCATTTTCCAGTTTTGTCTATAGAGATATGTAGGAATATGTTTTATTTAAGGGGATTTGAGAACTATATATAATTTTGTCTTATTTATCATAATTATTAAATCATAACACAAATTCTTCTGAGTCATTAAGGATTTTTTTGGAACTGTGATTTTTTTTAACAGGTATGTAATATTCTATAAAATCAGTGTAGTTTAACTTATGTCCCTGTGTTTGGATATTTTTCTGTGCCTTGATTCTTGACTTACTTCTGTGTCTGATTTTGGTTATTTCCTAAGGAAAATTTGCTAGAAGTAGACATGCTGGTTCAAAGGACAAAGCATTTAAGATCTTGATTTATACTACCAAATACCTTCTGGAAGGGTCGCCACCAGTTATGTCCCACCTTCCTCATGAGGTCTGCCTCACAGCAGCCTTCCACACATTGACCTTCCTTTATCCCGAGGCTGTAGTTCATCTCTTCCCAGCAGAATGGCAGCAGGGCTCCGTGGGGAGACACAGACGTGTGAAAGGAGGGAGGTTTACAGAATGTGCAGCCTCAGAAGTGTGTGCTAGACCCAACAGAGAGGCCTGTCGCCTGGGCATCTCCCATTTTTCTAGGTTTAGGGACAGGCCTATCAGACCACGTGGGCACAGCAACGCAGCGACAGGAAGGATGCGCCCCACCTTTACGCCTGTCACATGCTGGGATACTGACATACATCTTGGGATACTTGAGATCGTCCAAGATCGCTTGAGATCACCTCAAGTGAGTGTAGATCTGTGTACTGAAGGGATTCAGGGTCGGTTATAGAGGAGGAGGGGCTGCCCAATCCCTCATGGCCCAGTACTTGAAACTTCTCAGGAATGAGATGCCTGCATGAATCTGAATCCCTGCCAAGAATAACCTCAGCTGAGAGGTACCTGTCCTGGCATGATTGCTAACATAGCCGCAGCGTAAAGATCAGGGGTGACGGAAGCGCTGCCGGTGCACAGGGAGACACACTGCGTCACGTTTCTAGAGCTGTTTTGGAAGGTCCGGCGGAGATCAGACGGTGGGTGTTTCAAGGTTTGAGTCACAAACCAAAGAGGAACAAAGTGAGTTCCACAGAGTCTTCCCCTGTATCCATGCAGAACTGAGCAGGAAGATCTGTGTGTGGAGGGATGTGCTGAAGGACACCAGAGAATAAAGGGGGCTTAACTGATTGAGACCAAGAGAAAGATAATGTCACTCACTTCTCAAGTGACAAAGAGCAGCTTGGAAAGACGTCACACCTTATGCGAAGAGCATCCAAAGGCTCTGAATTCAGTAAGAGCTCAGTAAATGCTTTGGATGTGAGTTAGAAGAGAGTGTTCAAGTATAAGGGACTGGAAGGCACAAGCAGAATTTACAGAGACCACTGAGTTTCTTCCTAAGATGCTTAGCTGGGGTAGGGGAAGGTGGCTTTTGGGACACACAGATGTGATGAATTCCCAAGCCACTGCAGTTGGCCTCCTGAGTGTTCCTTGGGCCTCCCAGGCTCAACCACAGTTGTAATACCCAGGCCTTACCTTACCAAGGGCTTCTTTCCCCACAGGCTGCCCTCTGGGGGACGTGGGGATGAGTCCGGATGAGGCTGGGGCTGCCTGGCTTTGCCCTTCTGCCCTCTGGTCAGAGACGTCCTCCTCTTCTCGGCATTGGCTCAGCGGTTGCCCAAAGCCACCCTCCAGGAGCTGGGGCAGGGGGTCTTCCTCAATGGAGATGATTCTGCGGAGTGCTCGCTGGGGTGGACCCCCATTCCCTGGCTCCCCAGTTCCTGGTTCATCCTCTGTCAGGGGATATGCACTGAGGCCCAGAGAGCTTCTCCTTCTTATGGTGTCAAACACCTCTTCCTCCTCCTCTGACTGGCTGTTGGGATGGGGAAGGAAGATGAGTGGGAAAAATCACAGAATGTCAATGTGGAAGTGGAAAGCTGCTTGACTCCTCTTGAGATGAGAGCTAAGGGGAAGACACACCTGGGCAGGAGAGGGAGCCAGGGAAGGAGGGGAAAATGGAAGCCCTAGCATTCAGCTCGTGCTTTGGACACCCTTATACCAAGGACTGCCTGCTGCTGCCGCTATTGCCAGGGAAGATGCTGATGAAAATTACTAATACTGACCAAATACACAGGCTGGACTTTGTGGAGGACCAAAACAATAAATGACACAAATAGTTTTCCAAACTAGAACTATTGTAGGAAGGAGGTAGTGAAGGCTTGGAAATGCAGCCCTCTGAATGAACCATCAGGTGATCGGGCTCTGCTCCCAGCACCAACCCTTATTAACTCTATGTCTTCATATAAGGACGTTGACTCCTCATGCCGCAGGTCAGTTCTCTTACCACAAAACATGGCCCATTGTCACAGATGAGACAATGCATGAGAGAGAGATGTTCATACAGGGCACACCCACATGGTGCACACCCACATAGGCACACACACACACAAGCATCCCTCAGCAGTGTGGGAGTACTAGTGTTTCTATGAGGAAAACCTCCTCTGACCCATGGAAGATGGCTGGCTCAGAAGCAGTCCCTTGAGAATAAGGTTTGGGTCAGAGGCACATCCACACACACCCCCTTTCTCTTCCTTTCTGTGTCCCTGGAAGTCAGGGGCAGGAGCAGGAAGCCTCTAAGATCTCGGTGCATATTTCCATTTGAATACTAAGAACAAAGAAAGCATTGGGAAGTAAAGGGAACTGGGCAGTAGGGGCATAGCTTGGAAGCACAGCCTGTGTTTTCAGTCCTCACAGGTTTCCAGAGCACTGGAGTTCCTTCTCAGTCTAAGTGAAATGAGATGAGCAAATCTCAAAAGGGGGCATATGTGTGATAGGGAAAAACTTATGAACACACACACACACACACACACGAAAAGGAATGGGGGGAGCATCAAGATGACAAGGTCAAAGGAGAAAGTGAGGGACACAGAATGTGCAAAACAAGAGAAACAGTATTCGCCTTGTCCCTGGCTTCCATTTATTACTCTTAGGCTAACAGTAGGAAGAAAAAGAAAACCCAGGTGGGACCTATTGCTGTTAACAGGTCAGCTGCAGTTCTGAATGACAAATGAAGACACGGTGTTTACTCACAACAGTAAGTAAACTGGTTTGGATAGAAATAAGACATTTACATCAACTCAAGCATCTTTCCCTCCGCTTATAAAATCACAGCTCTACTGAGTTTTCAACACGTTTCCTACATATGTTGTGAAGCCTATTAGCAGTGATCAGATTCAGAACACAGTATTCCTATCCATCCATTCTTGCTCTGCTTTTACACGCAGCATGAGCAGTTATG